CATATTAAAATATACTTAAATAAAAATGTAGCTAAAAGTACAATTTCATAAAAAAAAGAGATATAAACTACCATCTACAACTATTCCCTACGAGAATTTGTCTCTTTGAAGCGGTTGAGTACGTTTTGCTTGTAACCAAAGCAAAAAGTGACCCATTCGGTGGCGGGTCAACTCATGAATGCAATTAACGTAAAAAATTTGTATATAACAAAGATTAAATATTGCATTTACTATATATGTGTATCTAGTAGAGATTAAATATTGCATTTTACATGTATATTAATCGAGATTAAATATTGCATTTTCAATACTGAGTGATAAATCTCGTCAGGAAGAGACATAGCTATTATAGACCTAGCGCGAGTGTCTATAGCTATCTTCTTCTTGTCTTCATCACTCCACTGATAAGGGAGTTTTGGAATCTACCGTTCAGGAATCGCGGCAGTCGTAGCTGTTCCGGGAACAATCGGAGAAATAGCAAATGGTACATATGGTCCATTTTCTATATAGTGTAGAATTTCAGGATCCACACCTTCCAGAAAGAGGGACATCCGGTTCTTCCATAGACTAAAATTGTCAAGAATGAACCGGGGAGGTTTGGCAAGAGAGCCATTGTCTTGAACATGTGTGTTTGTGTTTTGCAAGCCATTTAAAACGCAGTAAAGTTATCTAGAGAAAAAGATAAAGTAATGCAGAAAAACAACCAAACAACTTAGAGAAGATAGAGCACTGCTCTGATACCACTTGTTGGTCCCATAACGGTCTACAAGATATGTAAAACAATTTGTAGAAGTGGGGGGGATGAATACAAACACAGTATTTTCAAATTTAAAATGTATATTGATAAGAAAAGATCAATACAAATTTTACAAGACTGTTTGCGAAAAGATAAAATAAAAAAAACCTATCTAAACAATCTTTAGTTACACACTTAAACTTAGCAAATAAGAAAAGATTTGCTGTAAAAGAAATAGAAGAAAGTAAGTTCTTTCTGGGAATGAACTTGTTTATAATGCAAGAAAAAGGATCTAACTTGCTCTTGAAGATGAGCGTATTTGTTCTTAGATGTGTGTTATTTTACTTAAGCGCAATGATGCTCAGAATAAGGTTTAGGTTAAGAGTATCTATGCATGGTGATAGAACGCATTTATTTATACCCATTGCATTAAATGCACATTTAATGCAACATGGTAGGGTTAGAATGCGTGTCAAGCCTTAAGAAGAAGGTTTGTCCTTTGCTACAGTGAATAGTACAAAAGTCTATTCATAAGCAGACATCCTTACCTAAGGTTAGTGGGTAATAGAGTCAGCTAGTCGGCTTCGTACCATACTAACGTTTAGAAAGGGTATGAGTTTGTCCTTTGTGTGTATAAGGACAAGACAACAACAATCGTGCTTAACAAGCTTCTTTTGATCGCTGAATGTTGGAATAACCTGAAGGTCACTTCAGCATTCGCTGAGGTTTGAGCAGTTTTCACACATATGTAGACAAGCTTGTAATCACTGAGTACTGCTTCAGATCACGTACTCGTCAGTCTCTAATCTTCAATTTCAGTCTTCGACATTTGATGTGGGTGTTGTCTTCTTGAAGTATCATTGTCGCTAATTGAATTTTACAATACAAGTTCTTCAGTGATCACTGAACAGACTCAGTGCAGATTGCTGGAACTGGAAAGACAGAAACATAAATACTTCGTATATAGATAAAAATGGATTATCATCAAATCACTGAGAGAAAGGATCAACATATATACATATATATATATATACATATATATATACATATATATATATATACATATATATATACATATATTATTTGTATTTTACGTTTTTATTTCTTGCATTTTTAGGTTTTTAATTTTAATATATTTATTTGCATGTATCTATGCATGCAAAATCTTTTTGCATTTTGTTTTTAATGTGTTTTTTATTAGTTGAAGTGATTTGTATGTATCCATGCATGCAAATTATTTTTGCTTTTCTTATTTTGGTGTTTGTGTTTTTCTAAAGGAATGATTATATACTTTACTAATGTTATCTTTTAAAACATCCTCTAAAGAGAGTATTGAGTAGGATCTAAGTTTATTTGTGTCATCACACATTTTTGAAATTTTATTATTACCGCCTTTATAACTGCCATACAACTTGCCAAATAGGTAACAAAAAACGGCGTCACATAATAATTTTTGGGTACGGTGTCACATAATAATTTTCATATTAAAATATACTTAAATAAAAATGTAGCTAAAAGAACAATTTCATAAAAAAAGAGAGATATAAACTACCGTATACAACTATTCCCTACGAGAATTTATCTTTTTGAAGCGGTTGAGTACGTTTTGTTTGTAACCAAAGCAAAAGGTGACCCATTTGGTGGCGGGTCAATTGATGAATGCATTTAACGTCAAAAATTTGTATATAACAGAGATTAAATATTGCATTTACTATATATGTGTATGTAATAGAGATTAAATATTGCATTTTACATGTATATTAATCGAGATTAAATATTGCATTTTCCATACATGTGTATTTAATAGAGATTAAATTTCGCATTTACCATACATGCATGAATGCAATTAACGTTAAAATTATGTTATTTTTTTTATTTATGTTAACAGTAAAAATATTCAATATTGGGCGCTTTATGAATGAATCAACAAGACATTTCTAACGGTGTTATTTGTAAAAAAAAAATACACATTTGTAATATATTTTAGCTAATAATTAACTAATATATATAATAAGGGTATAAAATAAAAAATAATTTAAAACATATAAAATACAATAAATAAAATTTAAAGAAAAATTAATAAAATGTAAATAGGGATGCGTCTTAATTTGATGTTTTAGTTACAAGAATTATGTTTTATTTTAAAATTATAATTGTAAAATATAAATCTGTTTTACCTTGTTCCATGTTTGTTCCTAATAAAAGTCCTACCAAACGTGGTAGAATGATCCTTATTCTGTTATCATTGTGCAATATACCAAACACACTCTTAACCATTTGCAAATCTATGCTCGATTGGCAATTTGAAGTGTCTCTTTGTTTCAGCACAATATGGTTTTAAAATTCCTATCCTAGCCAAAGAAATTAGCAACTTGTTGCAGCCATAAATTGGTAATAAAAAAAAAAAAGATTATTAACCTGGATATCCAACCCGCTATACGAGCCGACTAATCTCAGGACGATCACCTGCTTTGCAGATAGCCCGGAGTCACCGCATTTAAACCTCCGTAGCCACAAGAGGATTTTTATTCCTCCTTGGATTTGAAACTGGGACCTCCTGGTACTTTTGACCTTTGAAATCAAGCTCAAACTAATCAGATACCACCCTTATGGTTAAATTGGTCAAATTAGCAACTTGTTGCAGCCATAAATGGTCAAGTTAGCAACTTGTTTGGGGCAGTCAATTGTTGTCAACTAGCAGTAATAAGTGTTGTCAACCAGCAGTAATAAGTGTTGTATATTGGAATTTGGAAGTAGAGAGGATGGTTGCAAAGTGTGGATTTGTTGAATATGCATCTTCTATTGTTGAATTTTTGTAACTTCTATTGCTTTTCTAAAGTTTTTAATTGAGAATATGTAGAATTTTCAAATTATAAAATAGTACTAGTCTTTATTTATAACAAAAACACGTGCCTTAGCCCTATCTTCATTTTTCCTTTCCTTTTGATATTCAGCTACCACTATTTAACATTCGTATAACCATATGAACATAACTTGACATATATGAACCTTTGTGTTAATTACGAACACATATTGACATATATGAATCCTTGTGTCAAATACAAACACAGATTGACATATATGCATACTTGTGTCATTTATGACTTTTTTCCATATATCCCCCTATTCACACATGAACAATTCTCATAAATATCAAATACTTGTTCACATATGAACCATTAACAAAAAAAAAAAAAAAAAAAAAAAAAAAAA